AGTCTCACTCTGTCACACAGGCTGGAGTGCAGTGGCATGCTCACAGCCACAGCAGCCTCCACCTGCTGGGTTTAGGTGATCCTCCCGCCTCAGCCTTCCAAATAGCTGGAACCACAGGCATGCGCCACCAAGTCTGGCTAATCTTTTGATTTATTGTAGAGATGAGGTCTTGCCATGTTGATCAGATTGGTCAGGCAATCCTCTTGTCTCCACCTCCCAAAGTGCTGGAATTACAGGCATGAGCCACTGCACCCAGCAAAATCATATTTCAGCATCTTAAGTCAAAATCTACTGTAAGATTTAATTAGAAGCCTTGGTAGGAAAGCAGTTTATTGATACTAATACAGGTACTTTTGAGAATACAAAGCTGTCAGTTGTCACTGGAAAGAGAAGGGAGAAAACTGAAGAATACTTACAAATCAGTTATCATAGAGGCAGGCATGTACACACTTGCAGAAGAGCACTAGCCATGTAGGTTAAAGGTCTTATTTATGTTAGATATTTACCTATTTTGCACTTTGTCTTCATGAAATCAAGTTTCTGGCAGGTCTGTTTGCTATGATTATGTGCTTTTAAAATGGAGATACCCTAATAGAATGTAATACTTAAAAATGACCAAAGCATGTTTGTTGTGAGAAACTGAATTCACTCATGATGTTTGTTACAGAAAATTGCATTTGCTGGATGTTTAAGAATTGGGCTTATTCATTTAGCTTATAAAAATCATTACAGTAATCATGTCATTTGCAACAGCATGGATGAATCTGGAGGACACTATGTTAAGTGAAATAAGTCAGGCACAGAAAAACGAATTCCATGTCATCTCACTTACATGTGGGAGCTAAAAAAGAGTTGCACTCCTAGAAGTGGAGAGTAGAATGGTTACCAGGGGGTAGGGTGGCTGGGGGAGGGGTGTTGGGGAGATACTGGTCAAAAGATATAAAACTTAAGCTAGGAGGAATAAGGCCAAGAGATCTATTGTATAACATGATGACTATTGCTAATAACAACACACTGTATTCTTGAAAAGTGCTTAGAGTAAGTTTTAAGTGTTCATGCCACAAAAATGATAACTATGTGAGGTAATGCATATGTTAATTAGCTTAATTTAGCCATGGCACAATGTATATGTATTTTAAAACATCACGTTCTGTATGATAAATATAAACAATTTTATTTGTCAATTAAAATAAGAAAACATTTACAAATAAAATAATTTAAAAAAATCATCACAGTGCCCATGTGTACAATTCACCAATGCCGAACTCAACCTCATTTTGTAACTCTCATCATTTTATAAGTGGCATCAATTCACTTGCTCTTCAGAGAGCACCAAAATTCTTTGTCTTTGCTTTCTCCCTACAGGCCTGTTTAGTTAAAATAAACACTAACTGTAAAACACAATGCAAAGCATGTTTCTTTGTCAACAATAATGAACACTTATTGATTACTTTCTAAATGTCAAGCACTGTGGTAAGTACCTCTGCATACATTATTTGGTCCTCACAACAGCCCTGTGAGGTAGGTAAAACAATTATCCTCTTCTTATAGATGAGGTCGAGCACTTCCCCCACAATATAAGTAAGTTCTATTATGAAAAACTGTTTGGCATGGAGAAGAGAAAGGTCTGGGGGAAACTTCACCATAACAACCACCTTCAAATATTTGAATGGATTCTTTGTAGTAGGGTGATTAGCTCTGTGGGTCATAGCACCAAGAGGTAAGGACCTAGATATAAAAGTTACAAGGAAAACATTCTAAATGAAACAGATTTTCCAGTGAAATGTAATGCTGGAGAAGGAATTTAAGCACTGGGTGAAGGTTGAAGGCCTTTGAGGGTATCTATCAACTCATTCCACGATTCTCGTTGTATTCACCACTTTTTTCAACTCATTGCTCTCTCTTTCATATACTGGTGCATTCATTCTTTTATTATTCATTAAACATTTATTGACCTGCACTGTCCAATACAGTAGCCACTAGCCACACGTGGCTACTTAAGTTTATTAAAAGTAAAATAAGAAATTCAGTTCCTTAATTACATTAACTACATTTCAAATGCTCAATAAGCACCCATGACTAGTGACTACCATATTTAATGGCACAGATTATTGGAAAGTTTTCTTGAACAGCGCTGTTTCAGACAGCTCAGCTAGTGATAGTGGCCACAAGAATGAAAAATCTGAGTCACTCACCTTGGGGAGCTTACAGTCTAGTGGAGGAAAAAGCCACTACCCAACATTATTCATTAAGAACTAACACATAGTCAGCTCTTACTGTCAATCAGGCAGTTTCTATGACTATGTCACTTTCTGTGACTATCTGGTTACACTATGAAATAGATGCCGTTATTCTGCTCACTTTACAGAGAGGATAACTTATGCAACTTGTCCAGCGAAACTGAAGAGTACCGCAGGGCCACAAAGAAGTTGAGCTAAATTCCATGGGGGTGGGGAGGTAAGGGAAGTATGAAGCAAGAAGGTATTAACTCCTTTATCCACACCATGATTCCTCAACGTATGGGCCACTGATTACTTACATTAGAATTACCTGGTGCACTCTTCAAAGTGCAGATTTCCTGGTTCCCTTTTGATGCTCCGTGGGCGGGGCCAGGAAACCTACGTTTTTAACAAGGTTCCCATCTCCGCCCCAGCGATTCTAACTGGTTCACTAAAGCAGGTCTTAAAACAACCGGTCCACAACACATATCCTTCTTTCCTCCGCTTTCCTTGCCGTCCCCTTGCCTTTGAGGGCATCGAGGTGTAAGGCCAGCCTCTCCGAGCCTCAGTTTCCCCTTGCGTAAAACGCGGAGCCCGGCGGGCCCGCGGCACGGCTGTCCTGGGCCTGGCACGATAGCCGCCTGGAGCACAGTGGGTGCTCCCCAGCCCGGCCGCCCGGGTCCCGCCCCTCTCGGCCGGTCCGTGCTGCCTACCCTCGCAGATCTGCTCCCACAGGCTCTTGCTCGGCGGCTCGGTGACCTGCCCCGGAGAGAGAGGCATCTCTGGGGACCCAGGAGACACGGCGAGCACTGGCGTGACCGACGAGTTTGCGGAGCAGCTAAGCTCCTCGCGCTGGACGGTGCGGCCGGAGTCCAGCCCGGGCACAGCCATGGCCGCGGTTTCCACGGCAACCGCGTGCGCCGTACAGCTGCGACCCGGAAGAAGCCGGAACCCGAGGAGGTGGGCCAACGACTCGAAGTTGACTTCCGGGTCACAGAGGAGCGGGCTCTCACGTGGAGGTGAGCAAGTTTGGCCTACGGGTGAGTGCCTGGGTGCGATGCTGGCGTGGCGGCGCGGGGTCTGGAAATTGCGCCTGGGAATTTGCGCCGCGGAGAGGAGGGGTGAAGTGGGCCACCTGCACCTTCAGATTCGATTCCCCCAGTCATCGGTGTGCACCCACCCTGGCCTCAGGCTGCCGCCTCCAGGAAGTTTTTCCGCCGTCAAGCCTGGCCTAGGACCCCGCGTAATCCCTCCCTGTGTGTTTTTGCAGAAGCTTTGACTCGGCGGACCCTGGAGGGAGCGGTCTCGCTTTCTGGTCCTCGCGTCCTGCTAGGGCTCCTGCGGGGGAGTGGGGTGTCGCTGCACCGGTTCTGGAGTCCGGTGGGTTGGGTTCGAATCTCTGCCTTGCCACTTGCTGACTTTGGGACTTAGGGCAAGTGAATTACTGTCCCCAAGGCCCGTGAGGCCGGGTATTCACACCAGCCTTCGCATGGCTCCTGCGGGAGCTTCAGGGCGCTCTTGGAGAAAGCGTCTGGAGATCACTGGAAGTTTCGATTCCTCTTTTCTTCTTGAAAGGGTGACTCCATCTGGGGTGGCAGGCTGAAGAGGAATACAGTATTCTGAGTGCAGAGATGAGGAGAGAGGGGAATTAAGTTGACCCGCAGCCTCCCCTTGGACTCTTTGTTCTTGTCAGAACTTTCCTCTGCCCACTTATTTAAATGTCAATACAGTTGTTCCCCTTTCTCCGCGGGGGATGGTCCCTAGACTCCCAGTGCATGCCTGAAACCATGGATAGTACCAGACTCTATATATATTATGTTTTTTCTTATGCATACTGTCTATGATAAGGTTTAATTTATGAATCAGGCACAGTAAGAAGTTAATAACTAATAGTAAAATAGAACACTTATAACATACAGTAATAAAAGTCATGTGAAGCCGGGCTCGGTGGCTCAGCCTGTAATCCCGCGCCTTGGGAGGCTGAGGTGAGTGAATTGCCTGAGCCCGCGGGTTCGAGATCCGCCTGGGCAACTTGGCGAGACCTCATCTCTACAATAAATCAAAGAGTCAGCCGGGCGTGGTAGCGCCTGCCAGTAGTTCCAGCTACTTGGAAGGCTGAGGCGGAAGGATGGCCGGAGCCCAGCAGGTCGAGGCTGTGGTGGCTGGGAGCGGCCACTGCACTCCAGTCTGGGCTACAGAGTGAGACTCCAACTCATAAAAAAAAGTCATGTGAATGTGGTCTTTCTCCAAATGTCTCACTGTACTGTACTAGTCTGTTTTGGGGCTGGGATTGACCATGAGTAACTGAAACCCAGCAAATGGACACCTGGGATAAGAGGGATCTCCTGTATTTCTTGAGTTCTTGGCTTGGCTTGTTCTATTCAAGGCTTTATTTCTACCCATATATTCCTAAGTTTATGTCACCCATGTTAACGCAGTCACCCCTGAGCCTCATATCCATATATCTACCTTTCTAGTGAATGTCTCCTCTTGGATGTCTCGAGGCATCTGTCCAGACCAGCCTGTCTCCCGAGCCCTCCACCTACCCACCTGTGCCCTTTGTCTTAGGGATTAACACTGCCATCCCGCAGTTCCCCAAACTGGAAGCATCTGTTCTTCAGAACCTTTCCTGACAACTGGTAGGGCAGGTTGCATGATCTCTGTCACCCTGACCTTCCCACTATCCTTGCTTTTATTACCTGTGTCATCATTATTACACCTCATTCCCTCCCACACCTAACTCTCTTTTTGGTGGGCGGTGTTTTATCCTGTTCATCTCTGTCTCTGGCATTCATTCATTCAATGTGTATTTATTTGAACACCTGCTTTGTGTCAGGCACTGAGCTAGGCTCTGGCAATACATCAGAAAACAGGACAGATAGGAATAATGAATGAGATAGTTATTCCCTTGACTCTGCAGGTGCTCTTGGAGTGAGTTATGAATGAACTTGAGCTATTGCTCAGGGCTGGCCTGGCTCTCTGAAGCTGCTTACAGTGAGTCGGATCCAGTGTGGACCCTCTGGACTCTGAAGCTAAGGAGGAGTATGGGATGGAGAAGTGCCTGAACTTTCCCTCCCAGGGTCCTAACCTCTGAGGGAATATTTTGTTTCCAGATGCCCTGGGTGTCACCTTGTCATCTAGCCCAGGGAGTGGCAGGAACTGGGCTGGTGACAGAAACAAGAGAAGTAACCCTGCTGGAAGCCTAAGTCTTTTGAGGGTTCCAGCCCATTTTCCCAGGTGCCTTGGTGACATCTGTCCAAGGAAATCTGCGTATTCTAGATACTGTGTGTATCTAGAATCATTAAATGTTGACAGTCGGTTGGAAGTTTTAAAAGCAGTGAAACAAGCTTGCAGGCCCGATGTGGCCCCCAACCCAGGCAGCTTCTGATCCGTCTCTTTTTCATGGATGGGGAAACAGATTCAGAGAAGCCAAGGGCATGTGGCAAGAGTGTGTCAGAGTCACCATTTGAACCCCGGTCTCTTGAGACCGAACTGAGGCTCCTTTCACCATACCTTACTGCTGCTCTTATTTCTAGCACATGGGAACCCACACGGGAAGTCAGGAGAGTGAACTACCCAGGAAGCAGGTAGAGGGGATTCATCTCTAGACCCAAAGCTGGAGAGCTCTTAGGTGAGGCAGGATTAGCGATTCAGAAGGGTGCTGTTACTGCCTTTGGTGGGAATCAGCAAGAGGCGCTGACCTTTTCTCAGGATTTCTGTGCACTTCAACCAGTAAAAGGCACGCCCCTGAGGGCAGCGACTTGCCTTTCTGGCTTCATAGCCATTGTATCCTGCCGGCTGGCCCAGGGTAAGCAGTCAGTAAAGAGTTTTTGAGTGAGTGACTAGGCTTGGGGGTTTGAGGAGGGGGTTTGGAGAAAGGAATCAACAATGTGCCAAGCACTTTGCATGGATTATCTCCATGGATTATTCCTTTCAACAGGAAGGAAGTTACATTCCCCCATTTTCCAGATGGAGAAACTGAGGTTCATGGAGGTTAGCCGATTGACAAGGTGAGAGCTGTCTGGATTTGAACATAGGGTTGCCTGAATTTAAACTTCATGCTACTATTTTTTTAAAAGAAATCATGACCATTTCCCCCATCCCCCAACACCTCAGACCACCCACTGACACATGGTCTTGGCAGTGCTTAGAATTGAACACAGGGTGGCTTGTTGTTGGGGTAATTTGTGCCATTTCTTTTTTTCAGGAATGATCACGAAGACCCACAAAGTAGACCTGGGCCTTGGGCTCCCAGATAAAAAGAAAAAGAAGAAGAAGGTAGTCAAAGACCCAGAAACTCGAGACTCAGTTTTCGGCAATGATGATCATTTGACTGATACTTATCCTGTAAGAGCCACATCTAAGAATATGGGCCAAGCGCAGACGCCCAAGATACCTCTTGTGAAGAAAAAGAAGAAAAAGAAGGGCCACAGCGCCCTTTGTGAGGAACACGAACCTAACACCACGTTGCATGCCCAAAGGACAGAGAAGTCACCCAGCCCCAGGAAGCAGGCCCTTGGACACTTGGAGTTTCTCAGTGGGGAGAAGAAAAAGAAGAGGAAGTCCCCTCCAGACATGTCCCATGGCTCTGGGGTGGTTACCTTTTCAGACCCCAGAAAGGACGAGGAGGAGACCAGAGTTGGCAAGAAGCTCAAAAAACACAAGAAGGAGAAAAAGGCCCAGGCCTCCACAGCCTTCTCAGTGCAGGACCCCTGGTTCTGTGAGGCCAGGGATGCCATGTCCACCTGCTCAGGAGGGAAGGAAGGGAAGGAGCAGGCAACCTTGGGGCAGAAACGGAAGCAGGGGAGTCCCGGGGAACACAGCGGGAAGGTGAAGAAGAAGAGAAAAATCCACCAGGAGGGGGACCCCCTCCTAGGCCCCTCCAAGCCCTCCAGGGCCATGGAGAGCAGCTCCAGGAAAGGAAGTAAAAAGAAGCCAGTCAAAGTCGAGGCTCCAGAATATATCCCTATAGAAGATGGCCCCAAGGCTCCAGGGAAGAAGAAAAGGAAATCCAAGAAAAAGGTGGAGCAGCCAGGCCTTGAGGAGCCAGCTCTGAAAAGGAAGAAGAAGAAGAAGAAGAGGGAAGAGAGTGAGGCAGCAGGAGACCCTTGGAAGGAGGTAGGCTTTCCTTCAGAAATGGCCTGTGCCTTGGGAGGATAAGGGCGAGGGTTAGGATAAGGGTGAGGGTTATGAACGTGTGTGTGTGTGTTTGCACCTACGTGAATACTAGTGCTCATAGCTGCCAGACCCTAATTAAGTTGACTTCAGTCAAAAAAGGGGGTTTATTGACAAATGTATTTGGAAAGGTTATGGGTTGGCTAGCTGCAAGTATGACTGGATCCAGGGGCTCATATGCAATATCACTGATAATATAGATATCCTTTGCTATCAAAATGCTACCCAAGTTTACACTGTCTGAAGTCAGGATCTGAATCAATTGGGATCAGTTTGTCAGAAGAATCTCTTGCTTTCTGAATGCTTGCCACTTGGCTATACAAAACTCAGGAACTAAATAATTTGAGATCACGTGGTACCTGTAGCTCTCCGAGTTTACTGTCTGAGCTCAATATACACAGTCTAGGAATCAAATCTATTGGGACAGCAGGAGGTGCCTGTGTGGCTTTCCTCACCTCTGGGCTTTGTATTTTTCAATCCTGGTTTTAGGCCCAGCCTCTTCTCCACCCCCTCACCCCATAGCATGATGGTCACGGTGGTTCTAGGCCGCATAGCATGTTGGTCACGTAGTTCAGCCACCCCCAAAGGAAGAAAGGGTGACCCTTTTAAAACAATGACAGGCAAAGTTCCAGGGCTGTTTTCACAGGCCTCAATTAGGTGATTCTAGGCATGATCTGAAACCAGGGATGAGGGGCTGAGGGTGTCAGTCCCACCTAAATCGTGTCTTCTGAGATGGGGTGGGGAGGCAGTGTCCGAGAGAAAAACCCGGGTCCTGTAACCAGGAGGAAGTGAGTGGGTGATGGCTGGTGAAGCCCACGGAGACCGCCATCTCCAGCCTGACAGGCTTTCTGAAGTGGGGCCTGAGGGGCTAGAGGTGAGCTGGAGGGCTGGGGCTCCCCCGATCTGCAGCCTTTCCCAGCTGGGCCACCACCAGGGCCCACAGGGCCACCATTCCTGTCCTCAGGGTGTGTACTTGAACGTGTAGACAGAAACAAAATAGGGTGTGTCCTGTTTGGGGTGTTTGCCCTACTCCTAGCAGGTGTCTGGCCCTTCAGAGTGTCTGGTGGCTGATAGTTCATTTTTATTGTTTTTAATTTATTTTTTATTTTTTGTATAGACAGGGTCTCGCTATGTTGCCCAGTCTGGTCTCAGACTCCTTGCCTCAAGCATTTCTCCTGCCCAGGCCTCCCAAAATGGGATTACAGGCATGAGCCACTGCGCCCAGCCAGGCTGACGTTCCGTGAGTGCTTACTATGTGCCTGGCACTGTGCTAAGTGCTCTCCATGTATTAACCTGTTTCATCCTCCTAGTCTGGTAAGGTAGCTGCTGTGGTTATCCCTGCTTAACAGACAAGACAACTGAGGCTTAAGGGAGTTAAATACCTTGTCTAAGGTAACTTATTAGTAAGCAGTGGAGCTGGGATTCAAACCCAGACAGTCTGACTTCTGAACTTAGGGTTTTATCCCTTCTCAGAAACCATCTATGTAGCCTCATAGAAGCCAGTATTAGTAGAGCCCAAGAAATGACAGGCTTCCATTAGAACAAGCCCTGGGTTCTCTTCCCAAACCAATCTGCTGGGTGACCTCGGACCAGCCATTGACCTGTGCCCTGAAGTAATGATGCTGGCTGATGTGTATTGAGTACTTGCTGATGGGTGGGCCTGGCATGGAGGACTGGGCTCAGTTATACCAACTGCAGGGGTGAGCCTGCAGGATCTAGCCATCAGGAAGGCATCTATGTGGCCAGCACTCAGCTGGACCAGATGGGGGTGGGGAACATAGGGTGGCCTCTGGATTGGAATATAGGAATTAGTTGTGGTTGCTGAACTTCTCTAGCTTTGCCCTAATGCATTTCGTTGGTATCTTCCTTTATTCAGGAACCTCAGGGTGAGGAGGAGTCCTGGAGGCTTTGAGGCCCGGCCCCATCAGAATCTAGTCTCCCTTCTCCCAGGACCCAGTGAAAGAGAGTCCCTTGGCTTAATGACTTCTGGGAGGGGGGCTCTACCTCCCTGAGCAGCCCACCAAATCAGGCAAATGCACACATGTGTTCCAGGACTGGGTGGGTGATGGGAGGTGAAGAGGCCCACCCTGGGTCATCACACATGTGGTGCAAGGTGCCAGGCAGAGCACACTTCAAGTAAGGACACACGCAACGTCAGAAGTTGTCACTGGTGAAGGACCAGAGGAAGGTGGCCACCCTGAGGTCACCGTTAGACGGCTTGGGGCTAAGGTCCATGAGAGGGTGAGGTGCATGTTAGCATGGTCAGGGCAGGCTCAGTGAGGAGTAACATAGGCGCTGAGACCTGCAGAGGGAGGTCCAGAAAGGGTTGAAGAGACCCAGTTGCAGGAACTGGGTGAGGCAGGGGCGATGGGAGGTTGAGGTGGCAGGGCCAAGAGACAGGAGTCTGGATTTTCATATGAACAAGATGAGAGTCCCTGATGGGCTTGTGGGAGGGAGGTGACGTGGTCCGATTGAGTTTCACAGTGCACCCAAGCTTCCCTGTGGAGTGGATGGGAGTGGGGTGTGTGGGAGGGATGAGGAAGCAGGAGTTAGAGACGTTGTGATTGTCCAGGCAAGAGAGGGGTTGGTGACTAACACTCAGGTGGCAGTGTGGAAGAGAGAGCTATCTGCAGGTCCTGTCCTCTGGCTGGTTTGATGTCACCATAGGAGGTCAGGTAACATGTGAAGCCCTGAGTCAGGAGACCTGGTAAGAATCAGCCTTGTCCCTGAGCCATGGGGTGACCTTGTGGTAGTCACTTTGCCTCTCTGAGCCTCAGTTTCTTCATCTGTCAAATAGGTCAGTACCACTGTTTTGGGTGTGGGGGAGAATCGTGGCAAGGAAAGGCTGGGAGGGGCTTTGTTGACTGAGGTGCTGTCTGCATGGCAGAGCTTGGGATGATGCTGTGGTCTGGGGTCTTCTCTGAACTTTGTCACGCTCTTCCTGGCTGGTGCTGGGGCAGAGGCCTTTGTGGTGGAATTGAACCTTAGCCAGCTCTGCCCTCTCGTGCAGGAACCAGACACAGACCTGGAGGTGGTGTTGGAGAAGAAGGGCAACATGGATGAGGCGCACATAGACCAGGTACACCCAGACCCTCTGCGCACTTCCCCATCCCTGTGCTACCCTTGAGGCATGCTTGCCAGGCTGCACGATCCTGGTCTTGAGGTACCAGAGACTCCAAAGGCCACCTGGCTTTCTGTGACACACCTCTGGGGCAGGGACCTTGCTCCTGCCCCCACCTCAAGCAGGGGACCTTTCCATCTGTGCGGCTATAGCTGAGGGACCCACCTGGCCATTCCCTGTAGGCCACTGCAGGATGTGGGGCCTGTCCCCCAGGCCCTGTAGCCAAGGCAGGTGACACATGTTTAGCCAGGCCCATGGGCTGCCACTTCCTGGATGAATTCAGGAACATTTAGAGAAGTTGTTCTATCATGAACCAGCTTCTTCTGTTGTGCCAGAGCCCCTGGCAAATGCACCCAAAGTAGGAACTGGACTTTCTGGAATTGGGATGTTTTTATAGTCCGGAATCCTAAGACCTGGCATTAGAATATTAGTGACCAGGGGACCTGGCAGCCACTAACCTCACCGACCCTCAGTTTTCCTTTCTGTGAAGTAGGGACCATGATAGCACAGGCCTTCACAAGACCAAGTGGGGTCACATTTCTGAGGCAGCCAGCAGGGACTGGCCTCAGCTATGCTTGATAAGTGGCAGCCGGTTCCCTGATTGCCGTCCTTATACTCCATCAGCATGTCGTTAGCTGAGCACTGAATCACAGGGTGTGAGGTGGGGAGACAGAGACCGCCCATCTCATAGCCCTTCCACTCCAGGAGAGAGGGAGAATGGAATGAGGACTGAGCCATGGGCTGGGCAGGAGGAGGGAGGCCCACCAGTGACGCATAAGTCCCAGACCTGATTTCGGAGCACTGGGGAACTCTCCCTGGGGAAGGAGACTCCAAGCCTAGACCTCAAGGGGGCCTCACTGAGGTCCCCTTGAGGGACGCCAAAGCCCTGTCCCCCTGACACAGGAGCTCACCAGCCTCCCCGAAGGTGGGAGTCAGGCCTAGCTCGCGGGGTCAGGACCAGGGCTGCTGGTGCTGCTGTTAAGGTAGCTGGGTGGCCACACAGGGCAGAGAAAGGGCCCTGATTTTCCTTTCTTGGCCCCAGGCCCTCCCCTTGGCTCCTTTCCTAAGTCTCCTTAGCCCCTGAGGGCACAGCAGTTCCCGAACCCCTGGCAGCCACAATACCTACACACTTCATCTGGGCAAGGCCCACCGGGAGTCCCTGTGCTTTGTATTTATTTGTGTCGATTGAATGCATTTTCTAAGACACTCTCTAAATGTTTGGAATGACAGAGATAACTTTAGCGTAAGGGAACCTATTTTTCCCATAAATACTAAAAGTTCATGTGTTAAAAAATGGGAAAAATAACATACTTGGGGGAGATAAAAGACCTGAAATCCTACCATGTAGTGATAATCTCTATTAACTCTTTGTTACAGCCTTCTAGATTTTTTTCCTTGTAACTATATATGTGCCATTTTATTTTATTTTATTTTAGAGTTGGAGTCTCACTCTGTTGCCCAGGCTGGAGTGCACTGGCACGCTCATGGCCACCGCAGCCTCGGCCTGCTGGGCTTAGATGATCCTTCTGCTTCAGCCTTCCAAGTAGCTGGAACAACAGGCACACACCACCATGCCTGGCTAATTTTTTGATTTATTGTAGAGGTGAGGTCTTGCCAAGCTGCCCAGGCTGGTTTCAAACCCATGGGCTCAGGCGGTCCTCTTACCTTGGCCTCCCAAAGTGCTGGGATTATAGCCACCATGCCTGGCCTTATTTTATTTTATTTATTATTTTTTGAGTTGGGGGGTCTCACTCTGTTATCCAGGCTGGAGTGCAGTGCACACTGCAGCCCTCAACCTCCTGGACTCAGGTGATCCTCCCCTCTCAGACTCAGGAGTAGCTGGAACTACAGGCGCATGCCACCAAGCTCAGCTAATTTTTTTTTATTATTATTATTTTTTGTAGAGGCTAGGTCTTGCTATGTTACCCAGGCTGGTCTCAAACTCCTGGGCTCAAGTAATCCTCCTGCTTCAGCCTCCCAAAGTGCTGGAATTACAGGTGTGAGCTACCATGCCCAGTCCATATGTATACTTTTAAAACAACATAAAATGCTGTGCACACTGTTCTTTTCACTTTGATTACTTAAGTGACGAACTGCTTCCCATTTTGATAAATGCACATCTGCTGTCAACACTCCACATCTGTGATTGTGCTGGAGGGATGTGCCTTATTTTCTCTCTCATCCCTACAGCTGTCACTTTGACTCTTGTGCTAGGTAATTCTTAACTGTGTACATGGTCATCTCATTTTGCAGTTTGTGGCAGATTATAAGGGAGGAGGACAGGCCATCAATCGGGGAAGCCAAAGTTATACCTGCACCCTTGAGAGAGAGGGAGATTCTATGTCAGACAGTAGGGCCACTGGTGCTCCAGTGGTGACCTTGAACTGTACTAGCAACTGTGTATAAGAAGGTCCTACAGGCCAGGCTCGGTGGCTCAGCTTGTAATCCCAGCACATGGGAGGCCGAGGCGAGTGAATTGGCAAAGCCCACAGGTTCGAGACTAGTCCGGGCCACCTGGTGAGACTTTGTCTCTACAATAAAAAAATAAATAACCAGGTGCGGTAGCACACGCCTGTAATACTGGCTACTTGGAACACTGAGGCAGAAGGATCGTTGGAGCCCAGCAGGTCGACACTGGGGTGACTGTGAGCATGCCCCTATACTCCAGCCTGGGTAATAGTGAGACTCCAATTCAAAAGAAAAAAAAAAAAAGATGGTCCTACTGTGTGCCCTGATTCTCTGCCACGTGCTTTGCATAGATATTTCTGTTTCTCTTATTTGCCGTCCAACATGGCTGATATTTCCATATGTTACAGATAATTAGACCAACATTCAGAAAGGTGAAGTGACTTACCCAACGCCATACAGCTAGTTATGGCAGTGCTGGGATTCAAACTGACCTCTTCCTGACTCCACAGTCTGTCTTCTTTCTAGAAAACAACACTGTCATCATGAAAGTTAACTACAGTATTCTCTGCACAGGAAGGCAGAGCTTGGGCATTGAGTTTTGAGAAAGTTTCCATCCCAAATGGCTACTACAAACAAAAAGTGTTCTAGTGGTGAAGGCGGTTAAGCTTAAGTTTCTAGGAAAACTCATTCTCAAGAAACCCTGGCTAAGGGGATGAATTGGGCATGCCCATTTTAGGCCAGGGGACTGTGACTCTTGAGATGAGGATAAATGTGACACAAACCTTCACGTTGTGTGCAGCAGAGTCAAGCTGCATTTCCCTTGTCACCCTCTGCTCCCTCAGCCACAGCTGTGTTCTGGGTCTTGGCTCACAAGAAAACTCCTGCGTCTCATTTCCCTCTTTCGTCCTCACTCAGGTAAGGCGAAAGGCCTTGCAAGAAGAGATCGACCGTGAGTCAGGCAAAACGGAAGCTTTGGAGCCCAGGAAGTGGATGGTGAGTCTGGGGCCGAGCTCTGTGAGGCGGAGTACCCTGCATCCTGGCCCTTCCCTTGCCTCACAGCCCAAGGAGCAGCGTGGGGGACCATGCCCATCCAGGCCCTGGGGCAGCAGCAGCAGCTTGTCCTGAGCTGGTTTCCTTCCTTCTGAAAGGGGTGCTTGCCCCCTCCCTCAGGGCTGCCAAGATCTGCGGCCTGGAATTTTGTCTCCAGCCCTGTCGGGTGGGTGTCCTGAGGACACATCATGATGAGCTCTTGCCAGGAACAGGGGAGGAGACCGGTGAGGGAGGGGCAGCCTCTCAGGACCAGTGTCCAGATCCTGTTTGACTGGGAACTGTCCAAGCTAGGCCTGAGAAGCTAGTTCAGGAGGGAGGACAGCGTGAGGATTGTGAGGCTGGGCCGCCTGGGTGGCCGGTGGGGGCCTTGGCAGGGTGCTCCACACCTCCTGACACTCAGCTGGACACGTGCCAGGCGCCAGACACCGGAGATGGAACAGATGAGGCCCATGGGATCCTCATCCCAGTGGCCTGAGGGCTGGGGTGGTGGGGAAACGGCTGACACACAAGGAAAGGAAGAAGGGTTCGGATGGCAACAGTGTCGGGAAAAGCCATGGAGAGAGAGAGGCTGTGGCAGGCGTATGCTAGACGGGAGGGCAGTGAGGCCACTCGAGAAGCGACCCTGGCCAGATGCCTCCAGGGTGCTGAGGCCCCCTGAGAAGGTTGGGGAAGACCTGGGCAGGCTGGGCAGTGGCCAGCGTAGCCCAGAAGTAGGAAAGGGCGTAGAGTGTCCCTGGCATGGGCCAGCGAGGTGGCATGTGGCTGGCATGATGGCTGAGAAAGGCCACAGGCCTGCTTGGCGACCCTGGTGGAAAGCTAGCCCTGGGCTCTGGATGCAGTGGCACCCACTGGAGGGCATTGACGGGGCACGTGGGGAGCCTGGCTGGAAGGCCACAGCTCGAGGACAGTGGCACAGGGCACAGGGAAACGGCCTCGTGATTTACTTGGGCACAGCCCTGGAGGACTCGTCACCAGATTAGGTTTTAGTGGGAGGAAGAGAAGGTTCCAGAGGGAGCAGGCTCGCCTTGGGCTGGTTCTGGCCTTCCAAGTGCTCAGAAGAGGAAAGCTGATTTGGAGCAAAAGCTCTGAGATCAGTTACTGGCTCTGCTCCTTTCTCAGTGAAATACTCTAGACAAGCGACTTCTGGTCTCTAAGCCTGTTTCCACTGCTGAAAGTCAGGCCTCATACCCTGGCCTGGCGAGGCGTGCAGTAGGGCTGTGTTTTGTCCCCACCTCTGGGTGCTTCCTCTCCACCCTGTCGAGCAGAGCTGTCAGGACACCCTGAATATGGAAAGGAAGAATGTGGAGCCTGTGGCCTCAGGGGTTACCCCGGAGTACCTGACGGCAGGAACACAGTCTGGGGGCACAGGGCTGGGAATGCCAGGGATGCTCTAGGAGGCATTGCCACTGAGGTGTGTGGAGGGAACTTAGGCTGGCGGTGGGTCCCCCGGGTGGGCAGCAGCCCTCGAAGAGTTGGCTTGCCCGGGACCTGCCGGCCCCCCGCCTATGCCCTCAGACCCAGCATGGGTGGCCATGGTGGCCTCTAGAGGCTGTGGGTCAGGCCTGTCATTGTCCTGCCTCTCGGCCACCATGACTCGAGGAGAATGTTTCCACTGCTCACTCAGGGCAGCTGTCATGACAGTGGTTCTTATTCTCCAAAGCTGACCTGGACATCAGCTCCAGGATGGCGTGGCCTGCAACTGAGAGTTCCCAGGTGACGAGGAGTCAGCAGTGTGGTGGGGTGAGGACAGGAGTGACCATTGTGCCAAGCATTTGCACCAGGCTTTGGTACAAAGGCTAATGTGGGCCTTGTAGAAGCCTCGGGAATGTCACAGCACCATCTTAGAGGTGAGAACACTGAGGCTCAGAGGGGACTGGACTAGGGTCACTGTGGGGGGCATCCACGTACATGTGACCTCGAAGTCTGCGGCCTCCCAGGAGCTGGGCTTTTTGTTTGTCACACTGCTATGGAGGAGAGGAGGGTTCCTGAGCTGCCTCGCGCTTTCTCGCACATGCCTCGGGGGTGGCAGAGTGGGCCTTGGGCTTTCTGGGCTTGTCCAGCCTCTGCCTTGCTGAGGGCCTTTCCCCGTGCTGGCCTGCGCCCCTTCTACCGGGACACATGCTCGGGGGAGATGCGCTTGGGCTCCTGCCTCCTCTACCCTCCGGGATGGCCCAAGGCAGGAGGGGCAACTACTGTGTCAGGGGCAAGGCATCACCTTTGAGGCGGGTGCTGTGTTGTGCTGTGAGATGAGGTGTGCTATGTTGTGTGGTGAGATATGCTGTGTTGTGTTGTGAGGTGTTCTGTGTGCTGAGCTGAGGTATACTGTGTTGTGCAGTGAGGCATGCTGGGTTTTGTTGTGAGGTGAGTGTGTTGTGTGGAATTAGGTGGGGTGTGCCGGTGTGGTGCGAGGTGAGGCGTGTGTGGTGTGAGGTGAGGTTGGTGTGAGGTGAGGTGTGGGCTGTGTTGTTATGTGGTGAGGTGGGTGTTGTGTTGCATGGTAAGGCGAGGTGTGCTGTTGTGTGGTATGAGGTGAGATGTGTGCTGTGTTGTGTTATGTAGTGAGGTGAGGTACGCCGTTGGGGAAAAGGAGGAAGGTAGAAAGACAGCTGAGTGTCAAAGTGGGCTCTCCTGTTGGTAAACTGAGTTGGGATTCCAGCAGGGTTACTAATCAGGCTATGTCTCTGTTAAGCTGCAGGTCTCCATTCACTCGTCTGTAAGATGGGTGCAAGAGCAGCAGTCCTCATAGGCCTCTTGTTAGGATCAGTGAAATCATCCACTGTCCAGCATGTTAGCTCTGTACCTGGGACATAGCAAGCATTTACTCAGCAGGGTCTTCCCTGGAAAGTGGGGGCCAGAGGAAGGAAAGGCCTTAGAATCGAGGAAGATGACCATCTGTTTTCTCTTCTCACAGGGAACCCAATTTGGCCAATGGGATACTGCTGGTTTTGAGAACGAAGAACAGAAACTGAAATTTCTCAAACTTATGGGTGGCTTAAAAAACCTGTCCCCTTCGTTCAGCCGCCCCCCCAACATGACTGCAAAGCCCAACATGGCCCTCAGCAAGAAGGCAGCCAACACCTTGCAGCAGAACCTGCAGCAGGACTATGACCGCGCCATGAGCTGGAAGTTCCACCGGGGAGCCGGCCTCGGTTTCTCCACTGCCCCAAACAAAATCTTTTATATTGACAAGAACGCTTCCAAGTCCATCAAGTTGGAAGATTAAACTCTAGTGTTCTGTCCCCGGCAGCCATAATTGCTTTTATGATTCAGTTCCCTGACAGTTGTCTAGAGTCCAGCACCTGTGAAGGTGGGGGACAGCTATCTTGGTGGGTTTAGACAGGTTTGGGCAGCTCATGGCCCAGGAGCCAGAACATGAGTGGCGGAAACCTCCTGTTCTCTGTCACACTTTCCATTCTACTTGCAACATCAGCGTGCGTAGATAATACTAGCTAACATTTGTTGAGTGTTTAGCAGCCAGGCATATACTAAGGTGTTTCTTACGTTAACGTAGTTACTCTTCATCATTAAGAAATGGGTGCTAAGCCGGGCTCGGTGGCTCAGCCTGTAATCCTGCGGCTTTGGGAGGCTGAGGTGAGTGGATTGCCTGAGCCCGCGGGTTCAAGACCCGCCTGGGCAACTTGGTGAGACCTCATCTCTACAATAAATAAAAAATCAGCCGGGTGTGGTAGCGTGTGCCTGTACTTCCAGCTACTTGGAAAGCTGAGGCGGAAGGATCGCCGGAGCCCAGCAGGTCGAGGCTGCGGTGGCCGGGAGCGGCCTCTGCACTCCAGTCTGGGTGACAGAGTGAGACTCCAACTCAAAAAAATAAAGAAATGGGTGCTATTATCATCCCCATCTTGCAGATGAGGGAACTAAGGTTCAGTGATAAGCAATAAATTGCCTGGGGTCACCCAGCCAGTAAGTGTAGAGTGTTATCCTTTTGTACCCCAAGCCCTAAGTCACTATTCACTATGCTGAATGTCCCTCTGGGGAATTTCACCCAGAATACTTGTCGGGGATTAAAATGTCTTCTGATTGAGGAAATAGACATTTATTCATGATAATAATAGTGAGCGCATGTTCCCTTCCTTGTCTTGGAGTCGCTGTAGCAGAGGTGTCTTTGAGCTTCCTCTGCTGCTGAAAAATGTGCCCTAGACCAGTATTGTCTTTCCACCTGCCTTCTGCTGACCCTGCGTGCTGAGCATGGAGTTGATCTTTTGTGTGTTAACTGCATTCTGAACAAGGAGTTTTAGAGAGCAGTCAGTGTTGCACATGAAAGTGCTTTACTGGATTCTTTTTGATCACAAGGAAGAGAACCCCAGGTGACTTCTGTGGAGGGTGAATGCAAGGAGGCACAGGAAGTCGCCTCATCAGCTCTGGGAACAGTTTCCAGGCCTGGACTCTACCATAAGCCTCAAAGAGCTCCAGGTACAGTGACCTAAGTCACATGTGATCCTCTGTGACCACCTTTCCATTCACCTAGCTTTCTGCACCCCAATACAGGTTCTGATTGGGACGTTTTCATATCACTTGACCTGAACATGCCTCCTACAGACATCCCAGCCCAGGCAGGCCTAAACAGGCTGGAAATTCAGTGTTTCCCATGGCAGGAAGTCCTGACTCTGTAGATCTCCAAGGAAACAAATCTCTGCTCCATCACCCTTAGTGTTGGCTTTATCAGGCTGGCAGTAGCTATTCCAGACAGCATACCCAGGCCCTGGAACATCCCAGAGGAAGAAAAACCTTTGTGGTTCAAAGAAATTTCTAGAAGATCCTCAAGAGACCTTTCTTCATGACTCATCTGCCCATTCCTGCACCAGCCCCCTTCACAGGGAGGGAGATTTGATATTTGTTCCAAAGGAGCTCAGATACAGAACCCTGCCTTCTGGGCAGTTAGATGGTCTTTCCCGTTATATATATCAAAGTTGAGTCCATGAAAGGTTGCTTCCTGCAGGAAGTGGCCCAAACAGGTCCTGGCTAGTGCACCCTTGTAGAACTCTTGACCTGGCTAGTGCTTGCAGGTCAGGAGTTAGAGCCCAGGGAAGTCCAGTGCCTGAAGTGCTTCCCTTACGTCTGTTCAGTGGGCAGCAATGACACCAGCATCCACTCATTTTTCCAGACCTCAGTCAACACTGCAGGAATTTGCTCGGTGTAAAAGGGAACCAGCTGTACCTACTCATAGTTTTTATCTTGCCCAAAGGTTATACAATAGTATGGGTGTATCAAAAAAGAGTGCGCACAGCCATCCTTTGGGTAATTCTGGGTAGTTGATTGATGGTCCAGCCTAGCTCTCCCATTCAAGCCCTGGTGACTGATAGCTCTCTTAGGGTGTGATGATCAGGCCTGGTATAAATAGTATCTGTAATAGGGCTTGACTTTCTAACTCAATCTATCACCACTGGCTTATGAGTTTCATTTGCTCAAGGGAAGGTTTCTTGACCAGAGAAGGGTGGGTAGCCAAGACAATAGGATGTTAGGTGTCCTTAGAATGACTAGCACCTTGTCTCTTTTTCCCAATGCAGACACCATCACTCATGTGAGCAGGTCCCTGTGGCAGTTTGCAATCAGGAGAATTACTCTTGACTCCCTTTCCTTACAAGCTAATATTTGCTTGAATCCCACTCCCCCATCCCTCCTTTCTTCATGTCCAAAGTCCTCCCAAGCCACTTGCACGTTTTTCGTATGGTTCTCCTGTTCTTCATGTTGACTCCGTGGAACATAGCATGTCTTCAAGGCATTCAGAAATTCAAGGGAGATGGGCATGGAGCAGGATGGTCTGGCACAGCACAGTCAAGGTCTTGGTTGAGTATTTAGCTCTGTCTCAAACTTGGCTGTTTCTGCCCTGGGGATTTCTCGCTGATGCTCTTCCTAAGGTAGGGATCTTCCTTACAACTGCCCTTCTCCAGCTGTTCCCAGACCTCATGGATCATACCACTTTATTCCTTGGTTTTCAGAGACTGGTTTATTGCTTTAGGAATGAGCTGGGAAAAACCACACACGAACATAAAATGTCTAAGCCTCTCTCTCCCTGGGTAGATTTCCTTTTGGGGTAATGTGTATCTGACCTAATGTGAAAGTTCAAGGTCAGGCTGATGTTAACAGCAGTAAGAATTCACTGGTCCAGGCTCGGGAAGCAGTGCTGTCCAACACATGCCGCCCAAAGTAGAAGACATGACTTAAAGAGCACAATTTGTGAACTTACCAATTATTTTTCATTTAAATAGCATAGAGTAAAAGTAGTAGACAATTTTGATGAAAATGATTTTGTGAAATAAAGGCCACTTGAGAGCAATATGAGCAACACATGCTTTCTGAATTTCTGTATGTTTTATTTAGTAAAGTGTAGGAAGGGTGTTCTTTAGTGTCTGCTATTCTTTATGAAGACATTCTCAACAATTCCTTGAATGGGGTGAGGGAAGGGGGCGAGAGGGAGGATATCTGTCATCAAGTTGGCCAGAAAATCCCACTGCAATATTCTTGGTCCTAAACTATTCAGTAAAACATGAGCTTATATAAATTTCTTAGCCCCTTATACTTTCTGAGGTTAACCATGTGTTAACTCTAATGCTGTATTTTACCACGTAAGAATGAAATATCTACATCCAGTGTGTATCTTCCAGAAGCACACCAGTGTAGGACACTTTAATCCACAATTGGGATGCATTTTCATGGGCAGTAGGTTCTAAACTGAATGAATTGCCAGTCAATATCAATGCTCTTAGTGATTCAGAATGAAATGTCGATGGAGCTCACCAGCAGCAGAGTAGTCAGGTTCCACCACGCTGGTGGTAGGAAAGCAGACAGTCACATGTGTTTAGAATTACGGCTGCAAAGCAAACCCAGCTAATACGTTTAGATACGTCCTGTCTCTTCTGGAGGAAGAGTCAGAAGTAATTAAACGAGCAGTCATGAACATCGATGTTCCTGTAGGATGTTTCTTCAGTTACAATAGACTGAGCCACTGGGAATCTCCAGTTTGACCTTGCTTTCTCCTTTGATCCACCAACTGACTCTTGAGTCCAATCAAGAGCTGCTTTGACAGGAAAAGGAGTGAGTTGAGTGGTGTGTCTCCCTTTTATAAACCTTCCAACATGATTTAAGCAACACTGGATTCCAGATTGTGGGTGCTAACTTGAGGGTACAGAGTCTAGAAGTGAATGTTTCTAGAATAGTGGTACTTTAAAGGTGGAGTGTTTTTCAAAGTTCTTTTTCTAAGCTCTGTGCTGGGTGCAGTGGCTCACGCCTGTAATCCCAGCACTTTGGGAGGCAGAGGCGAGAGGACTGCCTAAGTCCAGGAGTTCAAGACCATTCTGGGCAACTTGGTGAGACCTCATCTCTACAACAAATCAAAATAATTAGCCGGGTGTGGTGGCACATGCCTGTGGTTCCAGCTTCTTGGAAGGCTGAGGTGGAAGATCACTTGAGCCCAGCAGGTCAAGGCTGCGGTGGCCGTGAGCGTGCCACTGCACTCCAGACTGGGTGACAGAGTGAGACTTCAACTCACAAAAAGTAAACTGAAAAAACACTTTCCAGAAAAGAAAGGTTCCTTGCTTTCTTTTTCTCTCTTGCTAAAGGCCTGTCAGATCCTTCTCCAGGGCTTCTTGAGAACCTGAAGGCCATGTGCAAAGACACTAAGTTGCTGCTTCTCAATGAAGAAGATTTGGTTTTAATGCTATGACAATTCCCACTTCACTGTCAGAATAACCTGAGTGGTGGCCAGAGCTTAAACCAACTTGTATACTGCATATGCAAAAATAAAAACAAAACCCCAATATTCCAGTAAGAGTTCAGGACAGCAAAGCAGGTCTTTCTGGACTTGGCACCAGAGTTCCTGGGCCAGGCTCATGGATGGGCCCAGCTTGTGGATGGGCCTGGCTGGGGTCAGGTCCTTGTTTGCAGAGGGAGTCTGAGGGCCAGCTCGGTCAGATGGTTCATGTCTGGTTGCTTGCTTCGCTTCTTGATGTATTCCAGTGTTTTCACCTAGGAGGAAAAAGAAAAAGCCATCTCCTTTCTGGTTCATAATACTTGGAGCCCAAGGCTCCAACAAATCTGGTCATTATGTGAGCTTACACTTCTTAGCAGGGAATAGGGAGTTTTTTAAAAAAATTTATTTTTATTTTTTTATTTTTATTTTTTGAGTTGGAGTCTCACTCTGTCGCCCAGACTGGAGTGCAGTGGCTGCTCCCGGCCACCACAGCCTCGACCTGCTGGGCTCCGGCGATCCTTCCGCCTCAGTCTTCCAAGTAGC